AGAGGAATATCAACTATTCCCATTTCAGACCCTAAAGCTTCACACTTTACTTACCTGTAACTATTCTTAGAGCTAAAAACCTTTCCCAAAACATCTGTGTGCATTACCTCTGAGTATACGTTAAAAGATTTTCACGTAACCAGAAGGTTTCACACATCTTCTCGGTATGGTTTACATTCATAAGCGGTGGAGGGAGCGGTTTCTTTACGAGATCTAATCAGAAATGAGGAGTTCCGTAAACGAAACTGAAGTGGCAATGGGCAGGGCACATAGTACAAAGAACTGACGGCCGATGGGGCAAGGTTCTGGAATGAAGACCGCGTGCCGGAAAACGCAACGTGGAACTTCCACCCACAAGATGGACCGACGACATCATAAAGGTAGCAGGGAAATGCTGGACGCAGGCCGCTACCATTCGATCAACATGGAAAGCATTGGAGGAGGCCTATGTTCAGCAGTGGACGTTCTATGGCTGAAATAATGATGATGGGGAAGGAGAGTCGAGTCGGAGACTTCCAGTCTTCCCGTGGATGTCGTAAAAGGCGAATAAGGGATCAATATGCGAATCTCAGACCTTTCTTCGTGGGGAGTGCAGGCGAGGTCCTCCTTTTGCCTCGGGTAAATTAGAGAGGCTATTTTTCAACGAAAAGGTTATAGTGTTGTAGAAAGTAGACTGCACAATAAGGTTGGTTCAAGCTTGAATGTCTTAAACAGACTGGGAATACCTAACTGAACGAAGAAGTTATCCATTATGTGTCCGATCTGAGAATTGAACCTCCTCTTAAGGCCTCTGAATCAAAATAGATAAATGTCTTATGATTATAATAGCCTCAAATTCAAAGTAGAAAATTAAGGAAAGAAGTCACCTTAAAACGAAAATACGCAATACAAAATGCATACATACAAGTAGGATTTGTCCTACACAAGCTCGCTAGTCGGCTTGGAGAAGCCTGATTTTCCCATATTACACTTACAGGGCAGATATGTACCACCCTAAACTGCATCTTAACATCAGGTGCGATTACGGTCAAATACCTGCCTTGTTTTGCATAAAAAAATCCCTTAGTCGTTTCACGATATCCACGGGAAGAGTGCATCCTCTACTATAAAAAATAGTACTACATTCCAATCCGCTTCAACTCACCACAGTAAACACACTGTTATACCTGACACGTCTCAAGAGACCGCAGAATCACGTACAGTACCGCATGTGTTTTATAGGTAACAAATTAAATTCAAATTACATTTGCTAACGGTGTCGTGGGTCTTCTTTGACGTGGGTATTAAAAATGTAACGTGAGAGTATTTTGGTTAGGAGTGATGTTATGACGTAATGTTTAGATGCAAAAGTCTTTAACAAAAGGTTTATTTACTGCTAGCTTTTGGAATTTCGTTCTGTCACTGAAATAATATACAGGGTGGAATTTTGTTATGCCACCTGGAGGGAAAGTACTCTTAAAACTTAAAAATTTTATTGAAAGAAAACATTCCTTTATATTTGAAGAGAAAGAGAACTTTCAAAGATTTTCGAATTTTTTTGGAAAATTCACTACCTACCATACCATACAATTTTCTGTAACATAATTAAAATAATCTCATGGTTTTCCTTTCATTTGATTTATCAAGTTTGTTAGAGAGATTTCATCCTTATACTTAACCCTAACGATCGATCTAATAAAAATACAGGGTGTAATTTTTAATAGATTTCAGTTGGTTAGATTTCCGGGTGTGGCAAGCAAATTTTTGGAAATTTTTAAATACAGTTCTATTTCATTTGAAAAATAAAGGAATGTTTTCTTTGAGAATTTTTTTCTATCTACAATATTAAGAGTACTTTCCCTCCAGGTGGCATTACAAAATTCCACCCTGTATATAGCCTATTATCACCCGTATTCACAAACATTACTATGAGGTCTCACAGTGCGCGTGGACGCACAGGGTGACACATGAACCAATCACAGAGCTCTATTCAACGCTGTGCGTTCGATTTGCTGCTTCACTTAAGCAAGCATCGTTTGTGAATACGGGCGTATGTCACTCAGGCAGGAATAATGGGGCTTATTCCCAACTGGACACGTTTCCAACTGGTAACGGTAGATAAATACCAACTAATAATTCGTAACTAGGTATATTTCCATGAATGCTTAGAGAAAAACAGAAAATACAGTCAGACGAATAACGATTTATAATTTCACGTGTAGAGAATAAAAGGAAATGAAAAGAAACACTATGTTTAACCGCCTCTGTGGTCTAGTGGTAAGACCACCTGCTTCAGACGCAGAGGTCCCGGGTTCGATTCCCAGTGGGAGCAGATTTTTCTGTTCGGTTTGGTTGGTGGTAGGGCTTGTTCTAAGTCCGCCTGGCTAGCTACCACCATCTTACCTAAGTCTGTCGCCATAACAACAATGTTAACAGCATTGTTGTGTTCCGTCAATTAGAGGTAAGATAGGCAGTTCCTCCGTGGTTGAGGATTCCGGGTGAAGCTCGCTTTCACCTTCGGCCTGATCATCACTTACCATCAGTGAGATACAGGATACAGGCCAAGAGCTTCCTTGTTGTGGATAAAAAAAATGTATTTGTATTTTTCTTTTTGACAGTAGGTACTTTTAACCTTTTCGTGCCCAGTTGGAAATAAGCCGAATAAAAATAAAAGAATACACACATGTTCATGGTAACCACTTAGATATCACTTGTTTATGTTGTTTCATTTCCAGCGCTTCTATTTCAAATAACACCTACTTCATTACAGTATGTTTCCCAAACTATTCCAACTGCAGTTAAAATACTAATTTGGGAGTCATAAACTTCAACAACAACGGAGGGAAAGTCGTAGTGATGTAGCATAGTCGATAATTAGACCAAAACAGTCGGTGAAAGCCGTTTTCAGGTTCGTTAGTGTGTAATAAATAAAATAGACGATGCTGTGGATATGGAAGCTAGAGTTTCATTTTGCAAGGGATATTCTGCTCTGTTAGTCTCAATATTTATTCAACTCTCAGTTTATGCTTCATATGTTTTGAGCTTGGCTCTGTTATACTCAAGAATGACTACTTATTGCCAAAAGTGATACGACCTTTCTTTGTTGAACAGAAACTTGAACAAAATAAAGAGCAGTCTTAGATATCGATAATTGAACCACTACAGTAAAGGTTTCAATTCAATAAATCAATCAAGTAAATTCGTCATAAATGTGAATTAGTAAAGACAATTTGGCACGACCTTTAAAAGGTTTTTAAGGGTTTTTTAAGTATGCAGCAGGCCGTTACCAACCGACCAATTTCAGAATAATTTGGGAAGTCCTATGTTCAGTAGTGGACGTCCAGTAGCTGAAATGATGATGATGAATTTGTCACGAGAGTGTGACGAATTGTTACACGCTTTTCTCGTGGCAAATCGACCAAAACCCACCACTATGTTAGGAAAAAAGTTAATTAAAAGATCAACTGGACCGAATAAAATGGTATTTGGGAAATCGATCAAATAACTTTGTCAGAACCATGATTGATTGTCAAAGCGTTTGATTTGGACAGTGTAAACTATACCAATAAAATCACACAATAGAAATAAAAACGGCCGACTAGGTATATAACGACAATGGTGGAATCATAGGATTAACGCTTAATTTATTCAGAGACTGAGGTATGGGAGAGGCACGGGAATGCTTTTGAGACGTCAATCGTCAATGAGACTTCTGTGTGCTTACCATGAGTTTACGTTAGGTGTGCTCGCTAGCGACTGCGTAAAAAAATGACATTGATTGTATGACATATTGTGCAGCGCCCCTAGCGGCTACTTTCAAGAAACAAAATCTTCATAGAGATTTTTGACGTATTCGCTAGCGAGCACACCTAACGTAAACTCATGGTAGGTACACTGATTTCTTTCAGATTTGTATGCTCTGTCACGTCATAATTTGTCAATGTCAATTGTCACCCCTCCCATGCCGCTCCCATACCTCTGACACTGAATGAGTTAAACGATAGAACTATAGTTTAAATTCCGCTGCGGAAAAATCTCACTCAACATCGGGTGACAAAGTTCCCTTTTCTTGCTGCATAAAAAATAGTCATGTATTTATTTCATTTAACCATTTTACAACAGAACTTTATTCGAATGGCCTAAGGTGGGATTCAAACCTACCTTTCGCTTGCTGGGCGACTAATTTTCAATCTTAGTCAACTCAATTGTTTGAAGTAATTTTAAAATTTAGATCGAGAGGCGACTCCTAGAAAAATCTAATAACTATGTTAACTGAAATAACTAGTCCCATATATTCCTTTAAGAATCGAAAGGAGGACTTCTGAGTTATGGAAAAGTTACTGCTTTAACTGTACCTACTATAGCAACAATCAAACTGTCAGATGGTTATTTAAATCACTACACCCGAAGTGAATAAAATCCGAAGTTTTTATGAAAACCATATAGATTTATGGTTGCGGAAATGACCGATATAAAACAATAAAAAGTATTTCACTGTGGGAGTTATCCATCAGTTGAATTATTGATATGATAGACCGATATCAATAAAACTTTTCAAACGATTTGGTAGAGCAAATTTATTTATTTTTATGTATTGTGGCATTTGGAGAGTTTAAGGACTTAGCATAACTTTTTGGTTATCTAGACAATAAGTTCAGTTCAGTGGGGGCAGATTTTTCTGTTCGGTTTGGTGGGTGGTAGGGCTTGTTCTAAGTCCGCCTGGCTAGCTACCACCATCTTACCTATTTCTGTCGCCATAACAACAAATATGTTAACAGCATTGTTGTGTTCCAGCAGTTAGAGGTAAGATAGCCAGTTCCTCTGTGGTTGAGGATTCCCGGTGAAGCTCGCTTCCACCTTCGGCCTGATCGTCACTTACCATCAGGTGAGATACAGGCCAAAAGCTTCCTCATAGTAGATAAAAAAAAATGTTACCTATCCGCGTATCGCGTTAAAACCTGTTTAAACTTACCAGAGGTAGAAGAGAATATTAGTAATTTGTATTCAAAAATAGTACTTACGGTTTCTCTCACAGTCTTCAGCCTCGTTCCTCCCTTCCACCAGGATATGTTGGGCTTGGGCCTGGCCCCCACAGCCTGGCAGACCAGCTCGGTGCTCTGGCCAGCCACCAGAGGGCGCTTGCCTCCTTGCAGACGGACCCAGAGGGGTCGCACTGGGTACAAAAGGAAAGTTATAATGCTTGCTTTTATAATAATGCTGATAGTTGTCATCATAATCGAGTCTTTAGTCTGTAATCTGCAAGAGTCAGAGGCTGAAAAAAAAGAGTCTTGGCCACTTGGCCCACGGGCCAAGTTACTGGATTAAATTTTTAAATATATTTTTATTCCAGTAACTGAGCGATTTGGCCCGCGGACCAAGCTAAAAGTGGGCCAAGTCACTGGAGGACTTGAACGAACAAAACACGTCATTGACACTACGAGAGATTTAAATCAGATTTAATTGATTGGAAGGATTTTTATATTGTACTGGCTGACCCAGCGACCGTACGTAAAGTATCGTACCGCTAATAAAAAATTGATATAATTTATCAATACAAATAGCAATTTTAATTTCTGACGTATTCTATTCATAACCTAAAAAAACACTAGACTGTCAATAGTAAAAAGTGAAGAAAAAAAGACAAAAGACAATCGAAAAGAACAAATTAATTTAAAAAAAAGTTTCTCGCCGGCCAGCCGCGCGGCCAAGGAGTTTGGCCATAGGCGGCCTTTAAAATAAAATATTTTAAGTGATAAAGACAATGACAAAAGTCAATACAGAATATCTGTACAGAGGCAAAAGGTAGGATTTGGTCTACACTCCTCCACACTGGTCAGACGGGTCAGAGAGCCAGGAGGAGCAAAACATGATGACGATGACTTAGGCCTGTATTCACAAATGATGCTTGCATAAGTGAAGCAGCAAATCGAACGCACAGCGTTGAATAGAGCTTTGTGATTGGCTCGTGTGTGATCCTGTGCGTCCATGCGCACTGTGAGACAGAAAGTTAGTGAATACAGGCGTTGAAAGGGTCGAAACATCAAACCCCATCCATAAACATCTTTACCAACAATGGTTAAAAAAGACCGATTTCCTTATTAAAAAGTTTGTACCTATATCGATTACTAGCGGCCGCCCGTAACTTCGTGTGGATCCCGTTTTACCCCCTTAGGGGTGAGTTTCGTAAAATCTATTCTTAGTGAGCACCTACGTTCTAAAAGGAACCCCCATGCAAAATTTAAGACTTAGCACTTGTAGTTTCTGAGATTTCGTGATGAGTGAGTCAGTCAGTCAATTTGTCATGCCTTTCGCTTTTATAGGTTGGAATTCTAGAGCTATGCTAAAGTAATTTTTTTAAGACATTCTACCCTGTGATCTATGCTTGTTATTTATTGGAATTATGAGCCAAGTTTTGTAATACGCGTCTCTATTTTTTTGTTAGTAAATAGATATCGAATTATCGCCTTAGTACCTTAAAAAATACTGTTAAAGTTTAATAAACTGGTAACCTCAAGGGATCAAATTAAGGCAGCCTTGCTTACTTAAAAGGGTAAGTGATGTGACAGTGTTCGATTTATTTATTTATCGATACGGAACAAAACAACAAGATAACAATTATTATTTTAAACATTCAACAAATCTTAAATTAACAATTTAGCTATTTTAATTTTTAGTAATAATTAAAGTAAATTTAATTTCTTTGTCTATATTTTTAATTTCAATAACCCCTATCACAATTTTCATTCATAGCTAATTATTACAAAATTCACATAAGTAAATAATTTATATTATGAAGAAGAAACCCCATAAAAACACCATCGACTCTTTTTTCCATCCTTCCCACCCGCACGTCCCAACAAAACAAAATTGAATTTTAATGATTTTGATCAGAAAAAGGCTTTATTAATTCCCATCGCCGGAACTCCATTAAGTAAATTAAAACTAATTTACATATGGATATCAGAAAACCATCCATCAGTGAGTAAAGGGGGAATGACTTAATATGGTGTTTTAAGGGATGTTTTCGTCAGAAAATATGACAGACTAGCTGTNAAAAAAAAAAAAAAAAAAAGTTAAAAAAGATCGATTTCCTTATTAAAAAGTTTGTACCGATTACTAGTATATCGATTACTAGCGGCCGCCCGCAACTTTGTACGCGTGGATCCCGTTTTACCCCCTTAGGGGTGGAGTTTCGTAAAATCCATTATTAGTGAGCACCTACGTTCTAAAAGGAACCCCCATGCAAAATTTGAGACTTAGCACTTGTAGTTTCTGAGATTTCGTGATGAGTGTGTGAGTCAGTCAGTGACCTTTCACTTTTATGGATATAGATTGGAATTCTAGAGCTATGCTAGAGTCTAATTTCATTTAAAAGACATTCTACCCAGTGATCTATGCTTGTTATTTATTGGAATTTTGAGCCAAGTTTTGTAATACGCGTCTCTATTTTTTTGTTAGTAAATAGATATCGAATTATCGATTAAATACCTAAAAAATACTGTTAGAGTTTAATAAACTGGTAACCTCAAGGGATCAAATTAAGGCAGCCTTGCTTACTTAAAAGGGTTAGTGATGTGACAGTGCTCGGTTTTATTATCGATACGGAACATTAATACGTTGAAACTTTCAATAACAATTATTAATTTAAACATTGAAGATCGAGTTGATGATATGGAATCATATCCAGGTATAATTTGGGATCTAAAGAAACAAAATATATGGATAACCTAAAAATCTTAAATTAACAATTAAGCTATTTGAATTTTTAGTAATAATTGTCGGTTAAATTAAAGTAATTTTAATTTCTTTCTCTATATTTTTAATTTCAATAACCAACCCTATCCAAATATCACAATTTTCATTCATAGCTAATTATTACAAAATTCACATAAGTAAATAATTTATATTATGAAGAAACCCCATAAAAACACTATCAAATCTTTTTACCATCCTTCCCACCCGCACGTCCCAACAAAACAAAATTGAATTTTAATGATTTTGATCAGAAAAAGGCTTTATTAATTCCCATCGCCGGAACTCCATTAAGTAAATTAAAACTGATTTACATATGGATATCAGAAAACCATCCATCAGTGAGTAAAGGGGGAATGACTTAATATGGTGTTTTAAGGGGCGTCTTCGTCAGGAAATATGACAGATTGAAGCGTCATACAAGCGTCATGTTCACACGCAAGAACACCGTTAAATATGATAGATTAAAGCGTCATGTTCACACGTTTACCTACACAAGAACACCGTTAAAATCAGAGAGATATGCCTTAGCCATTTCCCACTCCGTTCGTTTCACCCAAAAGCTGGGCTAAGGCTTCCTCCATGAATTTCCGCAACGACCAACCAGAGCGCTTAATTGACAGCTATCTTTTTTAACATTTATCTCGTATGCGCCAAAAGTTAGTAGATATCGAAGAAACATATTTCATTAATTTCTACTAACATTGTGTATCATAGTAATGTTAGTAATGTCAAGTGTCGATTCAGATTATCGAGCCAAAAAAGGAGTCTTAAAAAGTAAAGTATTACGGTGATATTATTTAATAATAATCGTACAGAGAGAAACCCAAGAAAAACGATGCCTTTAACTACAGTATAATTTCCACAGCACCCGAACGTTCGTCGCCTATTTCGTGATCGTGAAATACACTTGACGTAAACGTCCCTTAAAAGGCGAGAGATGTCCAGTTTTCATTTTGTTCGTTGAATTTTAATTTTATTTCTCTGTTGATTGACGTGGCTACTGAGCTTGACAGGGCTCAAATTAAATTACTTGCATATGTTTTAAAAGTGGTAATTAAAAATATTTAGAAGCGCGATAACTTGGTGGGAAAAATGACGCCTTTTATCTGAGGGTTAGGTGTTCGATTCCTAGCTATCTTTTAGTGATTTGGTAAATGCCATATGTACATAATTATCGTGTGTATGTAACACAGCTAGCAATAACAATAATTATAATTAAGTAGGCACCTACACAAAATATGATAAAACTAAACTAAAATCACACCAGGTTTATTTTTATGGACTACATACTTGTCATACTGGCTGGCTATCCGTACTAAGGATAAGGCCGTATACAGAAAGAGCTGGAAACTTATAAGCGGTTACCAGCGCTTGTCAGCGCTGGTCCGTTTGTTCACAAAGGAAGCTAGTTGAATGGCATTTTATATGGCAGCGTCCAGCGCTGACCAGCGCGGGTTGAAACTTGTCGGCGCCGTTCAGTGCTTATCGGCGCGCGTTAATATTTTCCTTCGCGGGTTACCAGCGCTTGTCTGCGCGGGCTACCAGCGCTTGTCTGCGCGGGTTACCAGCGCTTGTCTGCTCGGGTTACCAGCGCTTGTCTGCGCGGGTTACCAGCGCTTGTCTGCGCGGTTTACCAGCGCTTGTTTGCGCTGGTAAGCGCTTATAAGTTTCCAGCTTTCTTTCTGTATACGGCCTAACATGTTATAACCGAAAGCTATAATTTCAAATTTGACCCTCGCAAGATTCAAACGTGCCACCGCAGTCACAGAATAACGCAGCTGGCAGCCAAAGATTTGCAATTATTTAAAGTGCAAACAAAAATCTTGCCACCTTTGGCCCTTTGCCCTTAAAAACGCGTTCATTTTTCTTTCCAATTTACAACGCTATCGGGCGACCCAATCTTTTAAAACAAGGGCTCTTAAATACCCCCATTGTGTTTCTTTTATACCATCTACTGATCTTTAGAAAGGGTTAACCTCTACTATTTGGAGGGCTTTTTTGTACCACTTTAGACAATCACGCCGTTTTTTTGTACTCCGAATTTTGGGGTTAAGACCGACATTGGAAAGTGAACTTTATTTTTACTGTTTTATGGCTTCAACCTTGTTGATTTTTATGGTATTGTTAAGTTAGTTTTAAGGCATTTGAGGTGCGAATTTCGCTCTTATAATAAGCGGTGTTGTGGTTTTGATTGATTGATAAGGCAATTTAAACCGCGGTTAATTGGACGGTGGGAATTTATACTATTTGGCGAGAACTTGTTATTCCATTCTTGGAACTTTCCAAGCTAATTTTAACAGACGTTTAAGCCTAAGGCTTTAAGATTAAAACATAGTGTTAATGTAACGCTAAAAGCCGTTGTTGTTTCATTAAAACGATAAATAAATGGCCTAGAACGTTTTCAAATTGCTGTTATTT